GACTCAAATTGAAAATGTTTAAGAACTATTTATCCCCTTGGCTCTTTGGATAGTATTTATTATACATAATATGTAGATTTTTTTAGGTACGACGTAATAATAAACTATAAGCTGGAAAAACAATTATGTTCTCTTTATCTGCAAATTAACAGATTGATTTACCGAGACTCTTTGGTCTCGTTATGTTTACTCTTTGAACAATTATTTTAAAATATATTTTTCCCCTCAAATATTCTGGCAGGAAATGTCATTGAAATTCCAAAGACTTCCAAACTGCCTAGACGACTAATATAGCGAAACGTTTGTTTATTACAATTTCGCAACCAAGTAAAATAATTATACACAATTTTAAGTTTTAATTATAAAACTCGAATCGACCAGAACGTGATTTTAAATCACCGTGAGAGATTTTACGAAATTCACTCAAATCACGGATTTACTCATAATAGGTACTTCCTACAATAATATTAGTTATAATAAGTTTATTTGATCTATCCAATCTGGCTGTATCGACATTCAACACCGAAAGTAGCAATAATGTTGGATCATATATGAGCCTATGGGTTTCATGAGTTGATATTTTTGTGTACAGTGTACATTAAAATGTATAGTCAGTATACATTTTAGAGTGACAAAATATGATAGTATTTTTTGGTTGTTTTATGACCAAAATAAAATAAATTGTTTTTAAATTAAATAGTTTTGTAAATTAAAACTCTGTACATCATACTATTTTATATCATCATCATCTACATATTATTATTATTATTATATTCTTTCTCGGGTGTCATGTTATTTATTGACAAGCCAATTTTCACTTCGCCGTGTATCCCTGCGTTCGCAGTCAAACCCTTGCTGAGACGAGGAGTGCACTGCTACCCCTTGACACTACAGCCACCCCGGCGGGTTTCCCTGGCAATTCCTAATATTTGGTGTGAACATGACAGCACACCGTGAAATCACATTACCTCTACTCGTTTCTTTTCAATAGCCGAATTTTCGCCGTTCTCTCCTCTCTTCTTTTTTACCGCCCCCTCACGCACACGCACATACACACACACACACACACACACACACACACACACACACACGTATATATATATAAGTATACGGATCGCCGAACCCGACGCACCGTGTGCCTTTTCACTCTTTATTAAATCAACAACCCACTCTGCAGCCGCCGCCGGCTACTCGGCCGTTTTCCTACTATCCATCCCCTCAATGCAGGCAATGTGACACGACTGCTGATTTTCCGTTATTACTATATAATAAATAAATATATATATATACTACTGTTTCTGTTACTGCTACTGCCACCGATCCTGTTGTTTGTCGTGCTTTTTTTTACAAGCGATTTTTTTTTTCTGTTATATAATATATATATTTTGTCTCCCTTCGACGTCTCTCTCGGTTCGATTGCCGCCGGTCTCTCCACGAACGCAATAAGGCGATTAAGCGATGGTGAAAATATAACAATAATAATAATAAAAAAAAAACAATCCCAAACGTCATCTGGGAACGATCTAAACCATAAAAACTAGAACCCATCCCGCACTCTGAACGATAATAATATTTTGTTGACGTGCGTGTGGTGACGGCGAACTCGTCGGTTTCGACGACAAAATATACACATAACCACTAAATACAGTGCCCAAAAAATACTCACCACCTAGGAATATTGGCTAATATGGTTTATTGCGTTAGAAACCGGGATTTTAGCATGCTCTAGAGTACTCTAGAGTGTGCTTTTCTTAACTGTTTAAATTTATTTTTTTATTTTTCTATTGTTATTATAGCTGTTATTACAGCAACCCATCAAAAATATTTTATAACTCATACCTATGTTGGGAAACACTGCAAACTGACACCTATTCTCGAATACTTATTGGACTTGCAGTCTGAAAGTTTAAAAATTAGCACACACCGTTTCGATGCATCAAATTGGAGGGCTAAACGACGGTTATATAAAATAAAGTATTATGCCGGACACAATGATTCAATTTTTGCGGAGTTCTATATAGGCCACATATTACGCATTCGATATTTCATTCACCAAAAATAGAATTTCGATATAATCAGTATTTCAATTTATTTTTCATGAACAGAAAGTAAAAAAAAGAACCTAAACTTTAAACATTTTTTGAATAGTGTCTAGTCTAAACAACAATAGTACTGTTCAATTTTCAACATTTCGCTGTAATAATAGAACACGTGAAAATAGGTAAATGATTGTATTATAATATTCGAACCGTTAGTTAAAACTATAATATTATCTTATTGTAGTCTCATGTTGTAAACGTATATATTACTGTTGTAAATATATTGTAAGCTCTTGTAGTTGAGGGCATAATAAATAAAAAAAGATTATCTTATTGCTTCGGCAGTTTAGTATCTTTAAAATTTCGGAAATTATGCGTTATAATCTTGATTCATGTTTGATATTTTGATTTTAGTTTAAATCTTATCGTACCTATTTTAATATTTTAGTATGTATGTAAGTATGTTTAATACTTTAATATAACTTATATAGTTGTCAGGTAAATCGTAGCACACGTAGTTAATAATGTGTAGTACCTATATATTTATAGTTAGGGTAGGTTAGGTTTACACACCTATAACAGTTTAATCCGAACACATATTTGTTAACCTACCTATACAACATAATATCTATATTTACGCAGTGTGGGGTTATTATCGGTACTCGTGCCCGTGTGACGGACATACTAATCTACCCAAACATAATTTATTTACCTAACCATCAGAATTCAGAAGGCTGACAACGATCGGGTCGGCTGCACCATGGACCAAATTATATAGTAATGTGTATACCCTCATTGGACACACTATTGCGTAATTGATACTTATGATATCAAAATTTACATATCATTACATTGTGTTCCCAGCACACATCCGACGATATTGACAATATTCGATAATCCTTGGTACATTGTACATAATAATGTATTAGGTAGGTATATTATGATATCCGTTGCACTGTTATCGGAGTAGTAAGAATTCATTTAATTCATCTCGTAACGATTAAAGTAATCTCCATTATTCATTGTCATCGTCGATAATTAATACCCATTATAAGTAGTTACCCTAAACCCATCAAAATAAATAAAACTAAATAATTCTCTAAATTTCTCTTATTTTGATTAATCAAAATATATAATGCCTAGATTATTAATTTTCGTTTCAGTATATTGTATACCACTATGCCCCCTATCAAACCCAGCACTATGATAGAGTAATCTAATGTCGTCGATTTCATTGAAATATGACGTTTTTTCTAATATTTATTAGATATTCGATTATATTAAAAATATTCAACATTTTTGTTTTACTGCATCTAATAATACATTTTTGTAACAAAGGTTATAATATTATGTAGGTACTTATACTATACCTACTTGACTAAAAAAATCAACAAATATATTATAAAATATTAAAAACCAACCCATTTCTTAAAAATGGATCATTATTCTGTAAGAGGTAACTATAATATATGTAGTATATATATAGATATAATAAAATACATGAGTTGCAATTTTTCCATATGATTTTCCAGACTGGTCAATCGTTCTTTGCGCCTAAAGTCGTATAGGTACCTACAGACATTTTTGTCTTCAAAGTTTTTTTCTAATAATAATATATTTTGTTCTATCATGATGTCGATAATTATAATGATTCCTGAATAATTTTTACTACAACTTATAATATTATTTATACGTTACTTTGTAGTAGAGCTATTTTGTAGAGCTAGTGGTGGATCTAGGATTTTCCACTTTTCCTTAAATCTACCACTGTTGAGAGGTGTAAGAATTATTAAATAAAATAACAATAATAAAAACCAATTCAATTTTGTTAACAACCAAATAATTGTTTTCTTTATTTGCATAATAATAATTAATAATAATATGGTACACATAGAATTGAAACGTAAATTACTCAGATAGAAAAAATAATAATAATAATAATAAATGGTAGTAAGTGGGACATTATCATATATATATTATACCTACTACCAGGTTATAATGGACGCGCAGGTACAGGAGCGGGTTGTTGTATACCTATACAAACATATAATATTTAACATTATTTTCTCACGATTTGGAATATGATTTATTTTATAACAAGTGATGTCCATAATAATAGGGTGGCTCAACATAATATAATATATATTATTATTATTATCGGTACACCGAACGGGATTAATTGACGCGTTGTGGTTATGGCGGGATTTAGCGGGAATACAGGTTATAGGTAGGTACTTATACAACATAAAGTAACATCGGTGGTCACTGTGCTGATGCTGCCTTGGTGATAGTGGTGACGGAGACGGTGATACGTGCAAAATAATACATAATATTATACTGGTAATTTAATTATATAATATGATAACAATTATATATTTTTTTTTTAATACGTTCACCGACACCTGCGCAAGTCTATAATATCACAAAAGAGCTAACGAAAAAAATAACGTAATAATAAACACGTTTACCGTGGTGTAACCTAACTGATATAATTAATAATAATGAATATATTCCGAACGAAAAAAAAAAAATCGCAACTCAATACAAAGTGAAGTATCGATGTCCGTAACCTATGGCTATATATAGAACATTGCATCGGTAGCGTCGAAACTATATCCCGGGACTCAGGAGGTGTGGGTGACCGCTGAGTTCCTCAAAATAAGGGTGAATATGGATGGGTGGTGTATTTTGAACGAAAGTATATAGGGAGAATGTCATATTATCACTAATGAGATATATTTATAAGTATATTACGTATAATCATTATTTTAAATAGTATGCGTGTATACGGAAGACGTCCGCTTCGAGTGGTGCAATTATAAAAAATTCAAATTCAAATTTAGGGATGCGGTATCCCGGTATCCCGGATACCCTCCTGTTGAAATATACTTCGGCGTCACCACATGGCATTACATCATCATCATCGTCATCGTCGATATCGCTAAGGCCACGGTGGACGTATCAATACGGCCGCCAGACGTCTGTCTGTTTGGCGGTTGTTTTGGGCGAAACGGCCGGTGAAGCGTCTGCTCCGTCGGGGTCGACTTCATCGTCAGCACCGACGCCGCCGTCCGCTTCGCCCTCGTCGGCCGGTGACTTTTTGGGAGATTCGTTCTCGGCCGCCGACCCGTCGCCGTCGTCAACGACGCCACCGATGCCTCCGCCCACGGCTTTCTGCGCAGCGGCCGCGGCCACGGCAGCGGCCGTCGACTCGTTGTCAAAAATCATCGTGTTGCGTATGTGACTCAGATACGGATTGGGATATAGCTGCGAGTACAGCCACTGTGTGTGCGGCTGCAGGAGGGGCGCGTTCAGGAACAAGCTGAACAGCGACGGTGCCACGAGCGGAACGGGTTGCGTGACGGGCGGCGGAGGCGCAGACGCGGACGGGTGGTGTGTTCGCGGCGACACGGCGGCTGCGGCCGCGGCCATGATATGCGGCGGAAGCTGAGCCACAGGCTGTGCGGGTGGAGGAGGTCGCAGCGTTGGCGGAGGCGGTGGCGATGGAGTCGTCCTGGCCGCGCGCTTAACGCGGTGGTCGTCTTCGGCTGCACGCCGTTTATTCTTATCGTGTTCGTCGCCGGCGCCACCGCTGCTTCCGTTGTTGTTGTTGTTGTCGTTGTTGTTGATAGCTGCGGCTGCCGACGCCGCAACGACCGTCGGTGATAAGCGATCCGCGGCGACCGCCGCCACTGCACTCTTCTCGGACCGGTTGTCCCGATGTCGCTTGTGATGATGGTGGTGATGGTGGTGGTACCGCTTGTGTGCACCGCTCCCAGACACAGTGGTCAATAGGCCTCTGTGGCCCCTGATCCCGGTCCTGTGGCTTCTGGTCGTCGGGCTATCCACGCTCACGTTGACGCTGATCGGTCCCAACGGTTCCGTCACCGTCCTGGTGCTGCTGTTGTTGCCATCTGCGAACAAAACCAGTATATTTTCTATATATTTCTAGTATATTTCAATATTACGATAAGACTGTCGTCAGCTAACGAGCTTGAAATTTCTGAATCTCAGACAAGTAGAGAAAAAAAATATGTTCCTATTATAGGTAAGTTCAAAATATATCCACGACTTTTGTCAAATAATTGGATCAAACCATAGGCCATCTATAATGGCTGGTTTCGTTTCCAAAGTCAATAATTCTAAGTGTCCAGATAAATGATATCTATTTCAATATGACTATAACATAGCATAATAATGACGTAGGTATATATAAATAATTTCAGAAGATATATTATAATACATAATATAAGCTTTTTCTAACAGCAATCTATTATCAGTGATATCAAACTACAAATTTATTTATTTATTACTGAACATAATTTGTTAGTTACTTTTAATATTACATATTTAAATATCTATTTACCTAGCCTATCCTATACTCGAAGAAAAAAGAAAAATAATATTGAATCTTACCTATCAATGTGATTAGTTATTACTTATTTGGTACTTATATATATATATATATATATATCTGTGTTTGATCCCAAACTATATTATCTAAATCAATTTTTCACTTTATTATAATTTATAAATGTCATGTACTATAAACATTATGGCTGCCGTTCTGTTGAGATTCATTGGTGAAAAGCTAACCGGCCCGTTTCAACTGTTACAATTTACTAGCTCATTGCAGAGGAGTCGATCTCGTTTCCGGAAGTCGCCTTAACGTGATTCCGGGGTAGCACTTATAGTGTCATCTCGTAAGAAGAAAATATATATAGAAAATGTCTAATTGTGTTATACCTTGGTATTAAGAAGCGAACCAGACAACCAAACGTCAAAGAAAATGATTTCGTTTCATCGGAAATAAACGTGTAAGTACACGTAACGTCGTTGCAATTCGCACTAGCACTTTCTTGACTCGAGCAATCCAGATTGTCACAGGCGTTTAGAGACACCCTGCACTTTATAATATTACATACATATAATTTAGGTACGAGTCAAAGGAAAAACTTTTTCCAACTTGTGAAGTAAGTGCGCAAAGTAAGTTCTCTTGTCCATGAATATTTTCAAATGCAGACTCGAATATAGGTATTAGGTATTGTATTTAGGTACCTTAAGTACCTATTATATATATATAGGTCATGTTTTATTATTTTATTAATATACATTAAATTTAATACTTTTTACATTATTATATTTATATTTTTTATATTATCTTAAAAGCACATCACAAAAAGTATTATACCATTGGTGAACGCGTTTCAAACGACATTTTTACAATTCACATTTATCATATTTTAAGGATACGTCTTACAAACATTCATTTGTTATAACGCAATAACGGTCAACCACGAATTTATCGATAGTTATAACATAGTATTTATGTAGCATAAATATATATTTTTTTAAAACGCAGTTTATTGGCTCGAGTGTATAATAATATAACTTCTGATACTATAGTTTTGTCTTAGCCCTTAGTCTATTGCAAAGCGCGTGTACATAAAAAAAAATGAAATCACAACAAACATAATATGTATAATATTAGGTATATTATAAATTATAATATATATTGTGTAGGTATATTGTTATAGAACGCACGTCTTTATGTTTTTGCACCGTTTAGACTCAAATTTATAAATCATCATTTTTGGTCAGAGATGAAGTGTCAATCGTCTTTATTTATTTCGCAATAAATAATTACTATAATATGATAAGATAACAATTATCTATGTGCTCACAGAAATATATTATAAACGGTTTATACCTGCATACAATAAATGTTATATTACCTGTGCCCGTGTTAATCGTCTGCTGTTGAATCACTTCAGTGGTCGTTCCGTTGTACGGAAAAATGTTGGTGAAGTTTGAGTGTTGAAATGTCGGTGGACCGCAATTGTTAGCCAAATAGGGGGGGTATGCGGTCGATGGCAAAGCTCTGGAAAACGATGTGCCCCACGAGTGGGCAAGACCTGCGAAAGAAAAATCCATATCATTCACGTGATGTTTAAATCGAGGTAGATATGTGTTGCATAATGCACTTGTTGAATATAACAACTCAATTTATTTTTAATATTATTATTAATGTAATAATAAATAATAATGATTCGTGAAACATGCAGTATAGTAATATAATTCAACGTGTACACTGTACATACTGTAAATCATATGATATTATAATTTTTGGGTACTAATGTAGGTACTATATATTATTATGTTCGTGGTATTAGAATATTATATATTTAAAAATATAATAATATTATGTTATTTTTACAGTATTAAATATTTAAATTAATCGATCGTCCGTAGTCCGTTTGTTTGATATTAATTTACTATAATATACCTAGATATTAGTTTACTAAAACGCTATATTATTATAGTATGCGAGTATGCGAACACGTGCTAACTTTACTACTTTCTCAGGTATCTAAAGAGTGAACGTACGATAACGATTAATTTGTAATTATAGTTGAACACTTTTAAATTAGTACATCGCCAACTAACTTTGTGATAATAATCACTATTTACGGATGACCGGAAACTTATTTTATTTAAGCTTACAAATTTTATTTTAAGATATTTGAATATTTCAGCACAACCCCTACCCGCCCCCCCCCCCAGACTGACTGCGCTGTCAGTGCGCCACTGACTGTATATTTATACATTTGGTATGACGTTGGCATACCTATCATAACCAATATACACGGTAATCAGTAGCATAACAAAAAATAATAAGCACTCCAGGTAACATTATGGTTTCCATTAAAATTTAACAACATAGAAATGACACTATAGTCTTAAGGTGAAGTAGTTTAATACAATACCATAAACAACCCCTCAATCATGTTTGGTAAAATCTGAACGTCTGAAAGACCAAAACGAATCTTATCATACAAATTTGTTGATAAGACTACAACTTTGAGTGGTCAGGTATATTGTGGCTACGATCTACTTGCATCATGGGGTAAACATTTCTCCCAAATTGCGGCCCAAAATTGTTTAGGGTACCAAATTTACTATTGCGCCCCATATGTTTTTTAGAGTACCTACATACGAAATGCGGCCCATGTTCTTTTGAGTACATGTACTAACTAATAATATAAAATAAACATTATTTATTAGGTATGTAACTTCATTTTCCTTCCCATTTTCACACAGACTGTCTTGCTGTGTAGCATCAGTATTACAGGCAGGTTAAAAATGCTGTATTGAAGTTTTTATATTAAATTTTTCTCATATTTTTTTTATAAAAATTAATATTATGATGGCACAGGTAAAAACTTGTTAGATATTCTTTTTTATAAATTTGATTATTATTTTTATTTTTAACTAACATTATTTAATTATTAAACAATAATATAAAATGATAGACATGTCTTAAAATGATGGACTCAAAAGAGTAAAGACCGTATTATTTATTGTTATTATATTAAAACAAATAATACATGTGTATATTACAGATTATTGTAGGATTATCGTATATGAGATATCGAGGCCCCCTAAATTCGGGGACCCCTGTTAATTGCACACCTAACACTCTCAATAATTTCTCCACTGGATAGACAGTATAGACACATCTTAAAATTAGAATTATAGATGACGTTTTTCGTGATTTTCTTTGGGATGCAACTATATACTAGTCTGCAGCTAAGATTGTACTTTGACACTAGCCACTCACTTAAAATGTCTACAGTTTATTTTATTTTAATGAACATTTTATTAGGTAGGTGATACAATAAATGTCAATAATACATGTTCAATTGTAAATCGATTAACGTAATGTATAGTAAAAATAAAAATGCATAATATATATATTATATTATAGCTAGTTTTAACCTTAAACCCTAGAACCCCTTTACAATTATGGGACTACGAAATTGAGGCCGGAACAATTCTTTCCTAAATATATACCACTGACGGTAACACACGTCTATAGTTAGAAATTTAAAAAAAGCATACAAAGCACGGTGTTCATACTCGTATGTGAAATCATAACATATTATATTGTACTTCATAGGTTAAAAGCCAATACTGGCTCACGCTCGATTATTATACAATATAATATTGTTACAATTATTGTTATTATAATAGTAATAATGATAATAATTATAAAACCTTTTGTGTGTTTCTCCGGTGGCGCTCACGCGAATTTCCGCCGCGTGACCTTTGAGGTGTTTCCAAAGGGTTAATTTAATTTCGCCGCCGCCGACTACGACGACGACGACGACGTTATCAGTTACGAAAAGGGTTGGCAGGCACTTATTATTAAAAGGTCGCGCGGAGGGTAGATCAGCGCCAAGACACGGCCGGAGGAACAGAGCGTGCTGCAAGAAGGTGATATTTACGCGAGCGGCGACGGTGGGCGGTGGCAGTTTAACTTTTACAAGCGTCAACACATAAAAGGGCCCCCATCCGGACTACTGCTGCTATATATATATATATACATATACAGTGTGCCGATAGGGTTAAGGAGAGAGGGGTTGAAGGGGAGGGAGAGGGTTGCAAAACCCTTTATTATGTTGACAGCGGTGCACCTTTTGTGTTAAGCCGTCAGCGCGCAGTATTATTTATATATATACAGTCGCCCCCGCCGTCAGCCGTTCAGCGTTACTATATAATATGTTATATAATATATATATATATATATATATATGTGTATCGCCGCGCGCCCGTTCGCACTAATTACATCCACTCAAACAGCTTTTAATTTTAAAACGCTATAACAAGCCTCTGCCGCCGCCGACCACACGTCATCACCGTCACCCGTAATCTTCCTCTCCTCCCGCACCGTTATAGCATAATATTATATGCAAACTGTTAAGCTGTAAAGATATAAGTACTTATATTATAATATATATCGTTTTATACTTTTATAGATATTATAATATAAACAAATTAATAAAGTACATATTCTCGCCTTTTACCGGCTGTATATGTATTATCTAAAATTTAGATTCAAAAATATTTCGTGAAATTTACCCGTATTATATCCCCGACATTCATTCCTAGAACAGTTTTCGGAATAATCTAAATAATTTGTATTTGATCTGTGGACGACTATTGCAGTGTACCTATTTAATGTAGACTCTACGTCTCTGTACGCATTTGTAGAGTGTCGTATACTAAATAATAATAATATTATCATCGCATAATCATAATCATAATATATAATAATATTATAGTCGACGAGATTTGCAGTTGGTTCGTGAGGCGAACGCGGCTCGTATTTTAAATATAATATAGTGCAGCTCGTAGTTGATTCACGCGCTACAATATACGTCCGACTCGGCGCGGAACCGGCGAAGGAGTGCGAAGGAGAGCGGACGATTACGCTGAAGCGGAGCGAGAGAGATGACGAGAAAGAGAGATATCGTGAGTGGGAGTGAGATAAATGTATAGAGCGAGAGTGTGCAGTGTATGTGTCGCGCACGTGCGAGAAAGAGCGAGTGACGCGAGCGAGCGAGAGAGGCCGAGCTTTCGTATAATAATATATAGGCGGCGAAAGAGAGGCGAAAAGAAAACCGGCGAGAAAGCTGCCGCCGCCGCTTCCGGCCAGGGTGGTGCGGCGAGACGCGGGCCGGGGAATCGACTGCGGTGTTGGCGGTGGCGGTGACGTCACCCACGGTGGGTTGGTTCCACTGGCTTGCGGCACACCCCATTGGCTCTCCGCAAAGCACACCGCACCGTCTGACCGACGACGACACCGACACCGACACCGCCAAACCGAGCAGGGCGCTGCGGACTGCGGGCGCGAGTTAACCTACATTCCGTCTCTAAACGTCCCTTTGCCGCCGCGGCGGTGGCGGTGGCGGCGGCGGCGGCGTACCACCCGACTCCGAAGCGCGGCCGCCGCGTTCTCGTCCCGCCCGCGTCGCCCAGTCCCAAGTCTACGGCCGATCTCGACGCATCCTCCACCGCGCCAACACTGCAGCAGTGTACCTACCTCCACGCGCCGTCCCTATGTATACATATTGTAATATTATTATAAAACAAAACGCGTCCCGACGACGACTTTTCCGCGAATAATAAGCCACGCCGATATTTGAAAAATGTTACATTAATACGCGTTAATACGCGCGAGCATCTGCGCCGCGGCAGCAGCCAACCGTTTTAAAGGCGATTTACTCGTCTTACGAAAACTTTTTTTCGTCTGTCATAATTATTCAATTTCCCATAGATATAACATTATATTATTTATATATTATATCGTTACAATATTAGAAAAGCGCTTTTTTCACTTTATTATCGCGATATGCGTCTATTTGACGTCCGTATTATATTTTGTTATTGTTATAGACTATATTATTCTACGATTATAGATTTTAGATTGTACGGGGCTTGCATTAAGGTTAACGTAATATAATTTATTATACGTATATTTTATTATCCGGAAGAACAATATTTTATATTATATCTTAGGATGAAAAATAGTTTGAAAATCGTTTTTCTGCACCGTATAATATTTCTTAACGTTGCGAAGAATTTTAATTTTTTTTTCACCGATAACTTTGTAATAATTAATTTGAATTATTTTATATTAAAAGAAAATACTAAAATACCATAAATGCATACTGTATACACACTGATTTTGTTTTTTCAATAAATAAATCACTCTTTTTTCTTGACATAGTTCTTTACTAAAATATTTCTTGGAATTTTTCTCGCTTTTAAAAATAACGCTAAAAATGTTCAATAATAAAAAAATATATAAAAAAATAGGTATAAGATATTTTTCATAGTTACCGTCTATATAGGTAGTAATACAATATAATATTTTATAAATACATGTGTTTAAAATATATATTGCTATAGGTAGGTGGTAGATAGGTATATGACGTGGGTAGGTATAGGTATTTATATAATTTATATATATATCATAAATATCTATATAGTATTTTAACTTTTAACAGTAATAAATATACATTTAATTTTGTTAACTATGATTTTTTTTGCTTATGTAACTTTGTGGTAA